GTTAAGACAGAGATGATGGATACTTGTAGAAATGAGGATGCAAAAATAGGACAACAAGCTGCTAACGATTAGCTTAGAAGAGATACCAACGTGATAAAGGTGAGTAAGATTTACAGTTTTTTTATCATTAGTCATAAAATTTTTGTAAATACTGGTGTGGACCCCAGAACCAAGGAAGAGTGGCAACGATTGATTATAATTCCCTAATGATCCAATAAGTTAACTCTCACCTTTCTCTTCTCATTGTTTTCTAATAAGCACATACAGCAACTGAGCATAGAATTTGTTCCTTTTTCATCTCTGTAATTTTAGGCCCATTCCCTTATTTAAAAAATTATCATAAGTGGTCATGAATGATTGCTAAATAGCGCAAATAATTAAATGAATAAATATGCAAATATGAGACAAATATAAAAACAGAAATAATTGGAAAGTAACTTACAGCTGTTTGGTGACATTAAATTATTATCTTTCTTTGGTCTTTGTTTCATCTTCTGCAACTTATGTCCAGTATCAAGCAAGTAAATAAAAAAGAATCAAGACAAACTTAGTATTTCGCAGTTTTCTCTTTTTTTTTATTTGCTTTTCTTTTTTTCTGCTTTTTTGCTTTTCAGTATCAAATATTCTTTGTACAGTCTTAATTGTGGATATATAGGATAAACGTCCAGTCCGAAGAATAATAACGAGCAAAAAAAACAAAAAAAAAATTAATTCGAACGTTTAAAATGTTTTTTGATTTTTTTTTTTTTGTCCAGTTTCTTTTTCCCTCTTTCATTTTTTCATACTCCAACAGAATCCGCTAACTGAATTTAGGCTTCACTGTCAAGCAATCTTATATTTATAGATGGGTTTATGGTACGAATAAACAACATAGACACAGACACACTCAAAGCATAACTAAACACAGGAATGAGCAGACTTGGATAAACACTCAGCCATAAATACAGAAATATATGTTAGCGTAAGAAGAAAAACAAAAAACTTTTCAAATACATGCTTTGAACTGGTTAATCAACTACACTTTTCATGGTCTCGGAATGAGTCAGCTGACTGGCATAGCAAAGACAGACGAAGGTGAATAAAAACATTGAGATAAATAAACAGATGAATTGAACCGACATACATTTGCCGGATAAATATGTGGGCAGATAGGTAGACAAAAAAAAA